GTGACAGCAAGATTAGAATAGAACCTCGAAAATCCAAAATTTTAGGGCAACTGCAGGACCCCCCTCATCCTGCCTCCCCTGGCTCACTTTCGCAGACTCTTTTAACGACCCACCCTTCCTCTGGTCCTCCCCAAACCCCGCACTTTCTGCTCCTACTCTCCCCCCAAAGGGGTGCAGGGATTTTAAGAAGGTGTGGGATTTTGACACTGAGTAAGGGGGGTCGGGTGCTCTGGACATCTAGTTTTACAGATAAAATCCCCCCTTTTTATGCAACCATAGTGCTAAACGCCCTATAAAAGGATTTGCCCCCCCGGGCCAGACTGACCCTGTGGAGGAGGCTACCCCACACTTCTTGTCTTTACAGATCTTTTGGTTCCTTAACTTCCTCTAACAAATTGGGGGTAAGAGTAATACCAGGTTTATTCAGGGTTTCCTTTTCTGCATGATTAAAAATTAATTAAAAAAATAATTTATAATACAGGGCGGGTTAATTTTTGTCTTTTTATATCAAAGACTAAAAAAAAAAATAAAAGATAAAACCAATTTTTTCAATTGCAACACTGGGGGCCAACCCACTTCACTCAATCATTTTTGGGTCCTTTGAAGCTAAAAAAAGACAGAAACACAAAAAAAGGGAGCAAAGGGGCACCCCTAAAAAAGCAGGTAACTTACCTTAACAATTCATGTCATCTCTAACATAATACATTGGGATCTTACAAAAAAGTTTCCTGCACTATTATATATATATATATATATACATATGTATATATATTATATATTTAAAACAGTAAATGGGAACTTTTTGAAGAACTCTTGTATAAAACAATCCTCCAACCCCCACTTGTTTAAAACCAAGGATTGACAACATTGTCACCTTAATCACAGCTTTGCAGGAATGCTCCACCGCAGGGGCCGGACTGACCATTCGAGCACTCGGGGCACTGCCCGAGGGCCCAGGGTCAGTAGGGGGTGCCCATGAGATGCTCCTGGTACCTTTCATTGGCTTTTTCATAGGCTTTTTTGGTTGTGGCCGAGGACAACAGGGGCCCCATTGATCCCCTATTTGCCCAGTGGGCCCCATGAGCTGTCAGTCCGCACCCTGCTCCACCACTACACTTATCAGAAAGCCAGTACAGAGCACAGCCTCCTTAATCCCATTGCCATGAAAAGGCAGATGTTACTGTCCAAGAACAGAATGGATAGAGAGTGCTGGTTGTGTAAACAAACCCTAAGCCCGAATGCAGTTTAAAATCGTGCTACTTCAGCTGAAGCAGCATGATTTTCATAGCCGCTGGTCAGTGCGATTTTTGTGCAGGATGTCAATGCAAGTCTCACAAGTCGGAATTGCACCGAACGGTTCCATAGGCGTAAATAGGGGTGTGACTTGCCCAATGCAATTTTGAACTGTCAAATCGCAATGACAAATCGCATTGGTGTGAATAAGTACTATGGGTGTTATTTGCAAAATTGCCAGATGAAAATAAAGGAAAAAAATATGTAAAAATGTGAATATTGCCATGACATCTAAAGAATGGTCTTTGGTTTAGATACGCTTTACTATGCAATGAGTGAATGAATAGTACAGTAGGTCAATGACAGCGTTCACAGAACTGTCTTTCAAACACATCTGATTGATCAAGAAAACAAAAAGAAAATTCTGCTTTTCTTTGTGTTTTGAGTAATCTTCAAGTAGTACTAATGTGAATTTTATCGGCTTTGGTTATCCATCCAGTCAATGCATATATAGCTGGCCATAGATGGATCAAACTTGCTGAACCGGATAAATTTCAATCCATCTATGGTCATTCTCGTTCATCTAATGATGGGCTTCCCATGAAGGACTGGGAGATTTTTTAGTTCGATCAGCACTGTAGTCAATCATATTCAGCGTTTAATGGGTGTATTCTGACAATAGAGGACTCCCTACTGTCAGAATACAATAGCAGGGGAGGATTCCTCAATCCACCTTGTGTGAATGGGGGAATCTCAGCACCATTTTTTTTTTTTCCTTTAGTCTGCTGGCTGATTGAAAAAGCGGATCCACGTATGGCCATCTTTAGTTTACCCATCCAGCCAGTGCATATAAGATGTGAACGGGAAGCTGTCGGTATAGAAAGACTTCTAATTCTGAAGATCTGGAAAGGGCCTCTTGCTCTGCAAACGCACAGCCTGTTCGTGGTCAATCTACACCTTCCATTAGAAAGATGTCTTTGAAAATCGAATTAGTATCTTTGTGACCAAAAAAAGAAAACTCTACACTGAGGGCGCCCACAATGAATGGAGACCCTATCCCCAGCCTTACAAATTATATGACTACTACAGTCTTCCTATGTATTGGCACTACTCTGGCCTGATTCTCCTACTCTGTGCAATTTTGGTTTTTACCTGCAGATATTTTAGGAAACCACAGGTTCTATTTTTAGTGTGCCCATCCTTCTCAGGTATAATCATGGCTGGTGTGAGGCTACATTAATTTTTACATAATATATACAAGAATAAAAAAAACCCTTGAATTTTCTTTTTTTACATGGGTTTCACCCAGCTTTTACAGTAGTGCCGTGTGTACTGTACAGCAGAGTATATACAACGGTTTGGAGTATAGAATATACAGTATATTAGAGGTCATTGGGGGCTCAGTAATTGCATTCAAAATGTACAGCACAATGTACAGAGTGGTGTGGAGTGATCAGTGTGGAGTATACAACGTACATCACATTGTACAGAGTGCAGCAGTATGGTGCATGTAGCACAGTGTACAGTATGGATTACAACATACAGAGTGGAATGGTGTGGCTGATGTAATGCATAATGAACAGAATGAAGAAGTGTGCTATATACCATGTACAGCACAGTGTACAGAGTAAGCAGAGTGCAGCATACAATATTTATCACGTTGAATAGAGAGCAGCAGCAGGAATATGTAGCACAGTGTAAATATGGATGACAGTGTACAGAATGCAGTGGCGTGGTATATGTAATGCACAATATACAGAATGAAGCAGTGTGCCATTTACAATCTGCACCACAGTGTATGAAGTAAGAAGGGTGGCATATACTGTATAATGCTAATCACATTGTGCAGAGTAAAGCAGTACAGAGTGTAATTTCACAATGTACAAAATGGAATACATTGTACAGAGTGGAGCGTCAATGTACAGCATATGGAATGGAAAAGTGTGTCATATACTGTGAACAGCACAATGTACAGAGTAAGCAGTCTGGAGTATACAGCGTACATCATATTGTACAAAGTGGAGTGGCAATGTACAGCATATGGAATGGAGAAGTATGCCATATACTGTGAACAGCACAGTGTACAGAGCAGGGGCGAACTGACAACTCATGGGGACCCCGGGCAATAGGGGATCATGGGGCCCCTGTGTCCTTGCCCACACTTAAAAAAAGCCTATAAAAGGTACCAGGGGTATTTCATGGGGCCCCCTACTGAACACGGGCCCTCGGGTAGTGCCCGAGTGCTCAAATGGTCAGTCCGCCCCTGGTACAGAGTAAGCAGTCTGGAGTATACAGCGCACATCACATTGTACAGAGTGGAGCAATACAGAGCATGTAGCACAGTGTCAGGGTCAGGATTTTTCATTAGGCACTGCAGGTACTTGCCTACAGGCAGGGAAGATTTGTACTAGGAAGGTAGAATTGGGGGGGGCAGGGATTTGTACTGGGAAGGGTAATTTGGAGGAAGTTGTGCTAAGAGGGCAGATCTGAGGGGATTTGTGTTAGAAAGGGGAATTTGGGAGAGATGATTTGTACTAGAAGTGGGGATTTTGAGTGTTTTTACGCTAGGAGTGGGGATTTGGGGGGAGGGTTTACACTACGAGTGGGAATTTGGGGGGGGGGGGGTTGCGCTAGAAGTGGGGATTTGGGGGGAGGGTTTACACTAGAAGTGGGAATTTGGGGGGAGGGTTTATGCTAGGAGTGGGGATTTGGGGGGAGGGTTACACTAGAAGTGGGAATTTGGGGGGAGGGTTTACACTAGAAGTGGGAATTTGGGGGGAGGGTTTATGCTAGGAGTGGGGATTTGGGGGAGAGGATTTTTACAAAGAGGGGGGATTTGAGGGAAGAATTGATGCTAGGAGTGGTGATTTTGGGTGGGGATGTTTAAGCTAGGAGTGGGGATTTGGGGGGAGGGTTTACACTAGAAGTGGGAATTTGGGGGGAGGGTTTACGCTAGGAGTGGGAATTTGGGGGGAGGGTTTTACGCTAGGATTGGGATTTAGGGGAGAGGATTTTTACAAAGAGAGGGGGATTTGAGGGATGAATTGATGCTAGGAGTGGTGATTTTGGGTGGGGGGGTGTTTAAGCTAGGAGTGGGGATTTGGGGGGAGGGTTTACACTAGAAGTGGGAATTTGGGGGGAGGGTTTACGCTAGAAGTGGGGATTTGGGGGAGAGGATTTTTACAAAGAGGGGGGATTTGAGGGAAGAATTGATGCTAGGATGGTGATTTGGGGGGGGGGGGGGGGGGGGTAAAGCTAGGAGTGGGGATTTGGGGGAGAGGAATTTTACAAGAGAGGGGGGATTTGAGGGAAGAATTGATGCTAGGAGTGTTGATTTGGGATGGGGGGGGGGGGGGGTTTTAATTAAGCTAGGAGTGGGGATTTGGGGGGAGGATTTGTACCAGGAGGGGGTTTTGGTGGGGAGAACCTACACTCGGGAGGGGGAGATTGGGGGAAGGATTTACGCTAGAAGGGGGGTTTGGAAGGAAAGAGGATGTGTACTAGGTGGGGTGGTTTGTGGGGAATTGGGAGGAATTTGAGCTGGAAGGTGGGATTTGGACTGTGAAGATAGGGGATTTTTGCATTTTGTTTGGGGAGAATGTTAACTGGCAGAAGGGATTTATACTTCGGGGGTGAGCAGGGGGTTATGCGCTTCAGAATTCTCTGCCTATAGGCTCCAGAGATGTAAATCCGGAATCCCCGCCCTGCACAATGTACAGTACTTTGTGTAGTGTGTAGAGTGCAGTGGCATGGAGTATGTAGAGTGCAGCATATAAAACACAGCAGTGTGGACCAGGGGCGGACTGACCATTTGGAAACTCGGGCACTGCCCGAGGGACCGGGGTCAGTAGGGGGCCCCATGAGATGCCCCTGGTACCTTTTTCATAGGCTTTTTGGAGTTTGGGCAAGGACACAAGGGGCCCCATGATCCCCCTACTGCCCCGGGGGCCCCATGAGTTGTCAGTCCGCCCCTGGTGTGGACTATACAAATGCACAACACAGTGTGCAAAGTAAGCATGTGGAGTGTACAAGGTACATGAATTGCAGCAGTATGGAGCAGCACAAGGTACAGTATGGATTACAGTGTGCAGAGCAGAGTGATTTGGAATCTATAATATGCAATGTATAGAATTGAGCAATATACAATGTACAGCACAGTGTACAGATAACAGTGCAGTGAAGTATGTCACCCCCATTGTATAGAGTGGAACAGTCAACAGTATAGTGTGCACAGTACAGGGTGGACATGTTTGGAGTTTTTTGGGTGCTCTTGCCCACCTGTTACTACTCCTGTTAAATATCTCCATATTATATAATAATTTAAAAATCCATCACGGAGTGTGGGACCATAATCCAGGTGTGTAGCCCTCAAAAGGTTGGGGAAACCTGTGCTAAGGCTACCATTGCTGCTCCTAAAAAGATGCTAGATGCCTGCCTTACATGCTAACCCAATGACCTCAATACTTTTTGTGTTACTGACCCAAAATGATTATGCAGATCAGAAGGTCTGATTGTGATCTGACTTCACCTGCAGCGCAGGACTCAAAGTAGAGAAATCAGGGGGCAGGCCAGTAACAGGGACTTTAGTGTGGCCTTTTTAAATGTTATAAGTTTTAGTTTGGATAAAGATAAAACATTTGCACAGTTTTCTCACCCATGTGATCTCTGAGACTGTTCAATGTAACTTTGTAGCAAGTTGCATGGTGAGAGATGGAGGCTGAGTTTGAGCCCTGGTTCACACTGATGGCAGTGCAGAATTCGCACTGGTTTCTGTTCGATTTCCAAAACCGCATCATAATCGCATCCTATTCCATGAGAACTGCTGAAGGTGTGTATTTTAAGTTAACAACACCTTGAAATCGGTTCACAAAACACTGCGCGATACGCAGAATAGGATCGCATGTCTGTTCACACCCCGACAATCCGATTCCGGTGCAGACAAAAAAAAAGGGCTCCTGCATAATTTTGGTAAAATATGTTATGGCTCAGATTGCATCACATAGAATGCGCATCTGTGATTTGCCGCAAGAATGCCGTGCAGTTCCTGTGCAAATCACATGTGAAAATGCCGCACCGCATCAGTGTGAACCAGGGCTGATCTGTGTCAGACATTTGTGAACACAACCAAGAATGGCAAAGGCAACCAGATTTTACAGGATTGACTACCTCTGATGCACCTTGGACCAGAAATTAAATGCTTATCCAGGATGATGACTGAACACAAGATAGTGTGGTTCTGGAGGGAAAAGCAGATAAAGGCATTGAAGGGTGTGTGCTGTGAAAGAGAAATGCATTCCTATAAATTGTAGAATTACACATTACTGAACACGCATGTACATATACAACACGGTATACAGTATACACTTTGCTGGCCACTTTATTAGGTCCACCTGCTAGTGCCAAGAAAATCTCCCCCACACACCATGGCACCACCACCACCAGCCTGAACCATTGATACAAGGCAGGGTGGATCCATGCTTTCATGTTGTTTACCACCAAATTCTGACCCGACCATCTGAATGTCACAGCAACCAGTCTGCTCATTCTCCTCTGATCTCTGACATCAGCAAAGCATTTTTCGTCCAAACAACTGCAGCTCACTGGATATTTTCTCTTTTTTGGACCATTCTCTGTAACCCCTAGAGATGGTTTTGCATGAAAATCCAGTAGATCAGCAGTTTTTGAAATACTCAGACCAGCCCCGTCTGGCACCAACAACTAGAGATGAGCAAATTATTCAAAAATTCGGTTCGGCTGATTCGCCGAATTCGCAGAATAAATTCGCTTCGAGCCGAATATATTCGCTGCGAATTTAACTTATAAAAAGGGTGTTTTCTAGGCTTCAGAGAGCCTTTATATTAGTGCAGAACACTGTACCTTTAATTTAAAATGCCCTTGGAGTCTGCTGGGGAAGAGAAATAATACTGTCAGTCAGTATGACATGCAGATGAGTGCCGTCGATCTTAGAATCACCGCACACTTCACTCATTTGGGCAGTCACGGGGCCAAAACCAGAGTGTGGAGCCACAGTGTGGCGTGGAGGCAGCAGCAAATGGGAGGCCATACAGCACCCTATGACAAAATGGAACCCACCAGCAGTGTGAGGGAGACCTGAAAGTGGCACATGGCAGAGTTGTGGCGATGGAGACAGCAGCAATGGGAGGCCGTACAGGGACCCATGACACACTCTGGACCTGGCAGCAGCATGAGAGAGGGCGTACAGGGGCCCATGACAGATTACGGGCCTGGCAGCAGCATGAGGAGTCGGTACGGGGGCCCATGGCAGATTACGGGCCTGGCAGCAGCATGAGGAGGCGGTACAGGGGCCCATGGCAGAGTGGCGGAGCGTAAGCAGCTAAAATTGAAGGCCATACAGAGGCCTATGTTAAAAAGTCCCCCCCAGCAGCAGCGTGGGAGACGACTATCAAGAGTCCAATGGCAGAGTGGCGGAGCAGAAGCAGCTTCAATTGAAGGCCATACACAGGCCTAGGTTTAAAAGTCCTCACGGTTAATTCCAATAACGAACTCTACTCCTCCGTGCAATCTACTTACGAGACCCTGGGCAGGTCTGGGTCCAATTTGTGGTAGAGACTGGTTTTTTTGTTCAGCCATGCTTGAGCGAGTAATAACAGGTCTGTGCTACCCCTTTGGTGTCTGGCTTAATGCGCACAACACTGAACGTCCCAGCGTTTGTCAACGATTTGCCGTTAAGTGGATGCAAACCCCGCTGAACCACGTTTCATGAGGACCGGTACAGGAGGGGGGCCATGAATCAGTATGGACTTGGCAGCAGCGTGAGCAGACGACAGAGGCACATGGCGCAAGGTGGCGTTGTGTAGTGGCAGCATTATTCTGAAGCCATACACAGGCCTAGGTTAAAAAAAGCGGAAGCCGTCAGCAGCAGCGTGAGCAGACGACAGAGACACATGGCGCAGGTGGCGGTGGATGCAGCAGTATTCGGAAGCCAAACACAGGCCTCGGTTAAAAAGTGGAAGCCGTCAGCAGCGTGAAGCAGACGACAGAGGCACATGGCGCAGGGTGGCGGTGGAGGCAGCAGCAATGGAAGGCCATACAGCACCCTATCACAAAATGGAACCCACCAACAGTGTAAGGAGAACCTGAAAGTGGCACAATGGCAGAGTCTGGCGATGAAGTCAGCAGCAAGGGAGGCCGTACAGGGACCCATGACACACTCTGGACCTGGCAGCAGCAAGAGGAGGGCGGTACAGGGGCCCATGGCAGAGTGGCGAAGCGTAAGCAGCTTAAATTGAAGGCCATACAGAGGCCTATGTTTAAAAAGTCCCCCCAGCAGCAGCGTGGGTGGAGATCGACTATAACACACATCAAGAGTCCAATGGCAGAGTGGCCGGAGCGGAAGCAGCTTCAATTGAAGGCCATACACAGGCCTAGGTTAAAAAGTCCCCCCAGCAGCAGTGTGGGGAGACGACTATCAAGAGTCCAATGGCTGAGTGGCGATCCGGGAAGTCAGCGTTGTGATTTGCAGATGCAATGCAGAGATTCTATGAGGTGATGCCGTAGGTGCGAAGAAGATCATATACCGTCGTACTTCCATCCATAAGACGGAACAACCTGCGAACCGGGAGCTTTATTTGCCCTGACCCGCTGAGCAGCTTCTGGGATACCCAAGAGTTTGGCTTCTGTGGGGAATATGGTTGAAAACTGAAACTTAAAGGCATGTTGACGGAAGGGCACCAGTGTCAGTGCTCCGGAGGGAATATAGCTTCAAAGCTGACACTTAAAGGTATATCGACGGTCAGAGACCACAGGAAGTGGAGCTTGCGTCTTAAATCGACTGAATGTGGCAGACGTGAAACGTCTACGGGCCGTATATGAAACGGGTTGTTCCTCTTTCTGGAATTAAGTGTTTGGAAATGGCCCACTCTTTTTGGTGTGGCGTTTTGTCTATTTAATTCCGATAACGGACTCTACTCCTCCGTGCAATCTAGTTACGAGACTATGGGGCAGGTCTGGGTCCAATTTGTGGTAGAGACGGTTTTGTTCAGCCATGCTTGAGCGAGTAATAACAGGTCTGTGCTGCCCTTTGGTGTCTGGCTTAATGCGCACAACACTGAACGTCCCAGCATTTGTCAACACGATTTGCCGTTAAGTGATGCAAACCCGCTGAACCACGTTCATGAGGAGCCGGTACAGGGGGCCATGAATCAGTATGGACCTGGCAGCAGTGTGAGGAGACATGAAAGTGGCACATGGCGCAGGGAGGTGGTGGTGAGGCAGCAGTATTCGGAAGACATACACAGGACTAGTTTAAAAAGCGGAAGCCGTCAGCCGACAGCGTGAGCAGACGACAGAGAGGCACATGGGCGCAGGGGTAGGCGGTGGAGGCAGCAGTATTCGAAGCCATACACAGGCCTAGGTGAAAAAGCGGAAGCCGTCAGCAGTCGTGAGCAGACGACAGAGGGCACATGGCCAGGGTGGCGGTGGAGGCAGCAGTATTCGGAAGCCATACACAGGCCTAGGTTTAAAACTGGAACCCAGCAGCGTGAGCAGACGACAAAGACGCACATGGCAGAGGATGGTATCTGGCAGCAGTATGAGAAGGCGGTAAACAGGGGCCCGTGGCACAGTGTGGTTGATGGGGGCTACAGCAACTGGATGCCAGAAAGTGGCCGATAGGGCTATATACTGCATGGAATTATAAAAGTTGTAAAGACAGCGGCCCTATAAAGGCTATACAACAACTATAACAATCATGACTTGATTGACCATTGGCCTAATAAGGCTATACAGAAAGTAATTCATGAGCTGTCCGGACAGCGGACAAAAAGATACATATATACAAATCAATTCATCAGCTATCCAGCCAGCGGCCTCAAAGGCGTACACATATAGAAAGCAATTCATGAGCTGTTCAGACAGCGGCCTCTAAGGCGACAGATATACAAAGCAATTCC